AGAGGACAGGAAGCAGAAACAGAGAAGACAGGAAGTAGAAACAGAGAGGACAGGAAGCAGAAACAGACAAACACAGACAAACATTTTTCAGTCAGGTCATCTGGACAGTTTCTTTTTTTGTGCTGAAACGTTTCGCCTTCGATCCAGAAGGCTTCATCAGTCATGGAAACACACAACCCAAAACTGATTCTTCTCCCAACAGCTTACTCCAAAGTGAAACAAACCAGTTTGGTTAGTGCTAGATGGTCTCTTTGGTACGCCCCCTCCTCCATTGCCGGCCCTCTTCCTTGTTGACAGTCATGTCAAACTGACAAACACAGAATTGAACAGAGAATACAAGAAACCCTTAATGGTTTTGGTGCGAGACATTCAAGTGAGTAGGAGTTGCACTGTGGAGAAGAATGGAGGGAGGTTATTTATTGTCTGAGGCAGCACAGTGACAGTTCCTGGAGTAACGAGCTGGCTGAGGGGGGTTCAGACCTATGCAGAACAGGAGTGGGGACAGTGCATCACCTTGGTATATGCCACATTTGCTGCTGACAAGCAGCTGGCTTTGACTTGGCCTCTAGAGTCGTCTTCCACATTCCCATTGAGTTCTTGATGGAGGTTCCTAGCGTCCCGTTGCTGTTGCATAGTTTGAGGCACTCCAGTATCCATATGTGTGGCATCGAGTCATAGACTTTAGCGTAGCCAATCGAGGCAGTGCACAGGTTTGTGTGTATGTGGTTCTGTTGACTAGTAGCCAGTGCTCGTCTCCCCTGGGGTCAGGGCAGATTACCTAATGTGTCTTGCTTAGGTACTGACACAGGCCCCTATTCATCTTAGCTGCTATGGTGCCTGCTAGGAGCTTCCATGTTGTACATAAGCAGGTGACGGCAGCTGGTAGTTGGATGGGATTGCCCTTTTCTGTGGGTTTTTCATGATCAGGACTTTCTGGCCTTGGGTCAACCACTCTGGGTAGGAACCTTCCATTAGCACCTGCTTCATCTGTGCTGCTAGGTGTTCATGGAGAGCAGTGAGTTTCTTTAGCCAGTAGGTGTGGATCAGGTCAGGCCCAGGTGCAGTCCAACTCTTTGTCCCTGAGACTCTGTCTTGGATGTCTGTCACTGTAATGAGCACTGGTTCTTGTTCTGAGAGATCGCCGAGTTGAGATCTTCCTTCTTGTAACTATGGGACATCATTATCGAGTGATACCTCCTTCTCCCATATGCTTCTCCAGTATTGCTCAGTTTCAACTCTGGGTGGATCTACACATATGTTGTTCTCCTGCCATTGAGAGTACACTCTGGTGTGGTGGAGAAGACCTTGTTTATTCTCCTGGCTTCTGCTTCTTGAGTATACTGCTTTAGGTGAGTAGCCAGAGCTTTGAGGCATTGTTAGGAAGTCTCTAGAGCCTTGGGTATGGACATGTGGTATTTTCCTGATGGTTCTTTATTCATTGCACCTTTCTGTTGTTCTGACAGCTGGCTGATTTATCTCCATGTTGCCTTGATCTTTTCTTCCAGCCTCGTTCTCCATGGTGGGCAATGTTCCTTGTCGGTTAGCTCAATCTTATAGCCGAGCAGGTCAAGGATCACTGTGGCTGTTTTGTATACCAGCTTAATGGTCTCTGTGATGGTGTCAGTAGGGATACTTTGCATTGCTGCATTGACATCTTCTAGCAGACTTTCAGAAGGTATTTTGTCACTTAACCTTGGCAAGTTTGCAGGTTATGGGTGCCTAGCTTGGTCACAATCTTAATTCTTAGGTCAGCTGCCTTGTATTCAGTTCCTCAGGGCTTTTCAATGGGGCTGTATGCCCATACTCTGATGGTGGGGATGATGGAGTATCCCTATGACCTGTCGTCCTGGATCTGTCTTGCCGTGGCATGTTCTTTGTACCTCATCAGTCTTTAGGTATGACAGCAGATTTCTCACTTGAATGTTGGAACATTGGTCCAAAGTTGTTTCTGGTCAGTCCGGACGATGGGTATCAAAAGTCAAATAATAATGTACAAAGTAAGCCAAAAGGAAATGCTAACCAATAACTCCAAACAACAAATATGTCCTGAAAAAACACCAAACAAAACTTGAGTATGGGGGGAAATGCAAAAATAAACATCTGAAAATTATCCCTAGAAGGTAAAAACAATAAAACATAGAAATGGAACATCCCAAACAAGTGATGCCACATGAATTTAGAAGATAGAGCTTGAAACAAACACAGAGTCTGAGGAGAGAACTGTGCAGCTTCATGTGGAAATGATTCTGATTGTGTTCACAGCGTTTAGTGCATGTGCAGGCTTTAAAAGCTGCAGCGTGCACAAAGCATTAGCTCCACATGGACCGGGCTGTCGGAGCAGATTCCCTGAACAGATGGAGTTTAACCTCTGATGGACAAACAGTCTCACCAGACCCTGAGCAGTCGTCTTCCATGTCTAACCCTGATTCAGCAAGCTGAGAGCGAGGCGTCTGACGAACTCGCAGCCCTTTTAATGCAGTTTCAGGTTTTCTTTAGTCCAGGAGTTCACAGAGCGATGACGCAGCGCACCAAACACAACCACCACAGAACGCTGTGAACTCGAGGTGCAGACATCCAACAGAAACACCAACTGGAGGTCTTTCATTTTACTGGCAGGAAGACAAACTACTGGTCCAAATGACCACAGCAGGACTTCTTCCACTGAAAGCTAACGTACACGTGTCTTACAGGGTCAGCTGAAACCAAATAAAGGTCAGAGGTCAGCGTCAAAGAAAGCACTTCCTGTTTTTAACTTTGACATCTTCCAACAAGTCTGCTATTAAAATACTCAAAATTAGACTTCAAAGTAAAGACTTAGCATTCCTTGAAGGAATACGCATTTCCTGAGTTTTAACACAAAATCATCCGATTTTGAAAATACATACATGACTGTTCAACCGGGGGGGGGGGGGGGGGGGGGGTCTGTCAAGAAACAATCTTTATTCAAATCCTTAAAATCTTTTGAAACTCTGTTTTGCAGCTGAGTTTGTAAGAACTGTTTCAAATGCCCAGTAAACTCATAAATGCATTTCTAACCCATATTTATCATCCAGCCATCATCCATCCATCATCCATGCATCCATCCATCATCCATCCATCATCCATCCATCATCCATCCATCATTCATCATCCATCCATTATCCATGCACCTATCCATCATCCATCCATCATCCATGCATCCATCCATTATCCAGCATCCATCCATCATCCATCATCCATAATCCATCATCCATCATCCATCCCTGCTTCCCTCCCTCCATCTACAGCACAATAAACCAACAGGACCACATCATCTGCAAAAAGCAGAGATGAATGCTGAGGTCACCAAACTGGACTCCCTCCACCCCCCGGCTGCACCGAGAAGTTCTGTCCATGAAAGTTATGAACAGAATCTGTGACAACGGACAGCCCTGGAGGAGTCCTCCACCCTGAAGGGGTCTGACTTACTTCCAGCAATGAGAACCAAACGTTCACACTACATGGACCAAAGAGCTCGTATCATATTTATTAACTCTCAGAATAACGCATTCCTTTCAGTTACTTTATAAACCTTTTATCTTCATCTTTTGATTTTAAAATAGCCCTCTAGGTGGAACACTGCAATAACTCCGGCCACGGTGTTGCCACCCCCCCAGAAAAGGCCCCTCTTTTACATAACAGGCTAAAATTTGAGCTGGTAGTTGCTGAGATTCATTCACAGCGTGTGGTTTGAGTGACCTCTTGAAATGTAGAAAGTTATTTTCAAGATAGGGTATTCTTAACAAATGATGATTTTAGTTCATAACTCTGGCATGAAAGATTTATCCAGCAACAATTTCAGCTAAAAAAACAAAAACCAACGTGCATTAATTTATTTAAAAACTGTTTTGTATTCAGAGGAGCAGCTATCACTAAACAGAAAACCCCGTCTGTGCTGCACAACAGGCCAAAGCTGCGACGACACGGTTCAACATTCTGCCCGTTTTTCAGACCTGCACCATCCGAGGAGGAAAGCTCCTGCAGATCCACCATGATCCACGATTCCAGCCTGTTTGGGATTTACTAGTTTACCTCGCAGCCTCCCAGCTGATCCACCGAGCAGATCCAAGTCCCACAGAGGACCTCCCCTCCCGGTCAGTTTGGGAAGGAGCTCCACTTTTATTCTCTGCGTGAAACAAGAGAAGGCGTCGACTCCCTCTCTCTCCCGTTTCCTCTCGGCACCGAGGAAGCTCCGTTACCATGGAGACGCATCAGGATGCAGCTCGACTGGTTTGTTGTGATGCAGCGAGTCCGGCGACGCAGCCCCTCGGATCGATCGTCGATTTAGTGAGCGAGCTTCTGCAACGCGGAGCCACAATCAGCACGTATTCAGGAATTTATCCCACGAGGAGCGAAAACTGGACTCCAGACGTTTCGCA